GACTTCTTCCCCTGAAGTGGCCATTTCCTCCAGGGGAACTGATCTGTATGGTCTCTGGACATTCCAGGAGAACTCCAGGATGCTACCTTGAAGTTGGCAATCCTAAACTCTGCCCCTCTGAAAAAGGAAAATTGTGCATGTCTGCATCTGTGATTGGGATTAGGACCATGCAGGAAGAGGATTTAACCCTTCACCCTTCCACCCACCCCAATTTCACAAATCCAAGACTGGCTTCCTACACTTTTATTAGCATTTAGAAGAAAAAGACAAGCTCTTGAAGAACATCTTTCTCCCTTGATAACTGCACATGAAGCCAATTTTGATTAGTGAAACTAAACAGAGGCTGAAATGTTAAATCCCCTCTTCTCTTCCATTATAGCCTCAATCAGGGGTCATTTCGTAGAAAAAGAGGTGCAGGGGCTCATTAGCATAACTCATTAGCATAACTTATTTGCATATGCCACACCCCTGACACATCACCGGAGGTGTGTCAGAAGGCAACATCCACCGCTCAGGCTCCACAGGACTGTTTTGGATTGCTAGCTATTGGTGGTGGGGGGATCTGTCCTCACAGAGGAGAGAGAGCTTTATTTATTTATTTATTTATTGTTTATATTTATATCCCGCCTTTCCAGGTATCTGGCTCATGGCGGCTTGTACCTGAAGGCGGGGCGGGGTGGGCCCTGCAACTTACCTGGCTGCTTCTTGCTCCTCGTGGCCCGACTGAGGGCTGCTGGGAGAAGGGGGTGGGGCTTGTTGCATGTGCCCGCCCCCTGGGCTCCTTACAGCCGGAGCTCCGCTCCTGTGCGCTCCCGCAGGAAATGACCCCTGGCCCCAATTAAAATCACAGCTGCATGAACATAAGAACATAAGCAGAGCCTTACTGGATTAGACCAATGGTCCATTTAGTCCAGCATCCTGCCTCGCACAGTGGCCAACCACTTCCTCTGAACGGCCAACAAGAGGGCACAGAGGCCAAGGCCTTCCCCTGATGTTGCCTCCTGGCTCTGGAATTCAGAGGCTTAATGCCTCTGAATGTGGAGGCTCCCCTCAGTCACTATGGCTAGTACCAATTATTAGACCTATCCTCCATGGATCTATCTAATCCCCATTTATATATAATCCCCATTTATTTATATATATATATAAATAAATAAATTTAAGGCTGTTTATTCCTGTAGCCATCACTGCATCCTCTGGCCGTGAATTCCACATTTTAATCACTCTCTGTGTAAAGTAGTATTTCCTTTTGTCCATCTGTTTCATTGGATTTCCTCGAGTTCTTGTATTTTGGGAGAGGGAGGAAAAATTCTCTTTGTCAACTCTCTCCACCTCGTGCATCATTTTATAAACCTCTATCATGTCCCCCCCTTAGTCGTCTCTTTTCTAAACTGAAAAGTCCCAGACTTTACAACCTTTCCTCATATGAAGGTGCTTCAACCCCCTAATCATCTTGGTTGCCCTCCTCTGTACATTTTCCATTCTGCAATGTCCTTTTGGAGATATGGTGATCAGTGTTCCATCTAAGCTGAGTCACTGTGAGCTAGCTCACAGATTTTTAGCCTCTGGCTCACAGATTTCTATCTGAGGTCTTGTTCAGACGGGCAGCAAATCCCGCCATTGGCCCAGTTCTAATTTGATCCAGATCTTTTTTATCCAGCATTGCACAACCAGACAGCTCCCCTTACCGTGCGCGTACTCCATGGTGGATTGCTAGACAGCGTCCACCTGAAGGAGCTGCGCAGTTGGGGGGGGGTTTTAATTGCGCATGCACTTCTGCATCTCAACGTGTACTTGTTTTTCCGTGCATATGCGGAATTGAATAGTTAAAGCACCGCCAGCGGTACCTCCCTCTAGATACCATTTCAATGAATGCAGCTCATAAATTTCACGGGCGCTTCAGAAACATGAAATTGTCCAGAACGTTTGACCGGAGCTCTGTGGCTGTTGCACATTTATGCATTTATGTGCATATCGCTAAGATTTTTTTAAAATGGCGGATAGGAGGATTGTGCGCTGGAATGATCAGACAGGGGAAGTCCGCCATTGGCTCGTCGGCAAGCATTTGCCCCAGACTGAAACTGGTATCTTTTAAGTACGGCTCCCTGGCGGGCTGAACAGGCTGATCACAGAAGCGGCACTTTTCCCAGATGTCGCCGTCTGATCATTCCCTTTAAACCCACCAGGTACTTGTGCCTGGTGCGGATCTAAAGACCCGTCTGATCAGGACCTTAGCTCAGGAAGGATGGCTCCAGAGCAAACTAATTTATACAGTAGCAAAATCACTTGCTCACAACTTTAATGCCAGTAGCTCACAAAGTAGAACTTTTGCTCACAAGACTCCATAGCTTAGAGGGAGCATTGATCAGAACTATACTGAATATTCCAAATGGAAACAACAAATTTATATCACATGTTGTTGTTCTGGCCAGAAGCATGAAATTCTGGGCAGGCCAGCCAAATGTAGACAAGATACCCAGATTTACTGTTTTCCGTATCTCATCCTCTTCTCTCTCGGAGGACAGACAGACTTCAGAGAGTATAATTCTGCCCCCCCTTCCAGTTCTATGCAAAGCTTCATCAATCCAGCCCCCACAGCCCTGCTGAGCCGGCTGTTTTTTCTCGCTCACCACAAAAGGCGAGAAAGGCTACGAGGTGCATTTTTCGCCCCAGGCTGCTTCCCCGAAACCCACAGCAAGTCCCAGCTGGTCCCTCGAGCACAAAAAGGGCTTGAGAGGCAGCCAGGAATTGCTGGGTGATGATGAATAAGTGGTGGAGGAAGATAAACCTCCTTCTCTTTGAATGGGATCCACCACGGGAGCTCTCTTCTCCACAATGGCTGACCCAGATCAGGCGCACGGCTGTCTGGGAACGGCATGGCAGGTTGGACATTGCTGTGGTTGTGGGTTGCTGCACCCGTCTCGAGGAAGGAAGGTGGAAAAAAAAACCCAGAAGAATGGCAGGTGCTTGGGGCATAAGAAAGGAAGGCAGAGCAACACTTGGAGAAAATTTGCCAACCGTTTGCGGGACATCATGGGGGAAAAAATGACAGTTGTCTCCAAGACAATGTCTGGGGGGCAAGGCAGGCACCCCAGGCTGACACTGGAGAATTCTGTGCTGCTGCAGACAGGTGCAATCCTGAATTTGCAAGTTGTGAACCTGTCATGTGGCTTAGGGACTTGCCTGTGAGGGCAGGGAGGGACCTTTACCCCTTCCCATCCAAGTTGATTCAGGGGAGTATTTTGGGCTGGAGAGAGAGAGAGAGAGGAGGTGGTGGCTGCGGCAAGGAAGTCATGCTGCTACGGTTGCCAACTCCAGGTTAGGAAATTCTTGGAGATCTGGAGCCTGGGGAAAGCAGGGTTTGGGGAAGGACCTCAGTAGGGTATACAGCTACAAGAGTCCACCCTCCAGAGCAGCCATTTACTCCAGAGAAACTGATCAATGTCTGGAGATAAATTATAATTGTTGGAGAGCTCCAGGTCCAACCTGGAGACTGGCAACCCTATCTCTGTTGGTAGAAATGCTCTGTTAGATCCAGACCACCGTCTCTACAACTGTGTGGTCCACCTTGGACTATCCTGAAGGTCACACTGGCGGTGGAAAGCTGACTTATTGTGACCCCGCAGGGTTTTCAAGGCAAGAGACATTTCAAGGCAAGGGCATTGCCTCCCTCCGTGTAGTAACTGTGGATTTCCTTGGTGGTCTCCCATCCAAATGCTAACTAGAACTGACCCTGCTTAGCTTCTGGGATATAACAAGATCAGGCTAGCCTGGACCCATCCAGGTTAGGGCGAAGGTCACCTTAAGAATGGCAAAGTTAATTCCCCAGACCAACTTGCTGGCATAATGGTGGAAGCGCCAGCCCATCCTTAGCCGTGCTGGGGGCACAAAGCTTTTATGCCACAACACCCCCACCCCCGAAGCACTGCCCTTAGAAATTCTCACTGCTGGGGGAAAGTGGGAAGTTAATAAAAGTATTATTGGCCTATCGTTGATTTTTTAAAAATCTAATGGATTATCCGGGTGACTGCAATTTCTGTTTAGGAAGAGAGTGTAATTACCCCTTATGGCTCTAGTAAATGGTTACTTTGCTGATCTTGTATAATCTGAGCGTTGCCTAGAAATATCAAAGACTGTATCACTAGGATCTCATTGCCCCTGGATCCCACTGTTTACACTTCTTTCTTCTATACCTAGAGCTGTAAGTGCATTTGCAGATGACGTTTCAGCCTTTAGAGCATTGAAGGGCTCTGTTGTTTCTTTTCTACATTTTTAAAAAATCAGTATTTCAAAACAAACCTAATTCAGTCCATAAATTGCAAATTGCAGGGTTGTGGAACCTCAATTTGCATCAGGGTTGTGCAGGGAAAGGTGAGATTTAACCCTTTAAATTCCAATTGGTTCCACTGTTTGAAACCAGCTTCCCCACTAAGTTATTAGCATTTTAAAGGAGAAAATATTATTTTTAATGGAACAAGATGCATAATCTTTTGTCTTCTTAACAAGTTGTTTGTCGATTATAGTGCTTAGACCGTTGTACTAGTCGATCCCTACTCAGCCACAAAGCTCCATGGGTAACCTTGGGACAGTTCTCTCTCCCTACCAAGCCTGCAATGGTTGTGAGGATAAAATGGGGAAGGCATATATGCTGCCTTGAGGTTTTAGGAGAAAAGGTGGGGTAAAATCTCATTAGGTTACAAAAAAGTGTGCATATTTCATCTATGTGCATCAGTGATCGGGAGCTACCATCCCTTAACTGGAGATTTAACTAGAGACTCTGGAGAGGAAAATGACAACTATTCAGCCTAAGAAGATGTTATAACCCATTTCCCAAATGCAAAGATAGAAGCAAAGCAGGCAGTAATTTATCAGGGATAATGATCAGAAAAACTGGGCGGCTGAAGAGTATGCGATGTAATAAGTGAACCAACCTTAGGCCCTTCCCATTTTTAGAAAGAGGCCTCCAAGACTGCACTGCCATGCAAAGGATAAACACTCACCTTGTCCAATTGTACGTAGGTGGAGGGTTCCCATCCCCAACGCATTTCAGGGAGGCCCCCTCCATTCCTGCGACCCAGTCCTCCTCTGCCTTATGACCCAGGACCGAAGCATCTGACAGATCTGTGAGAAGAAGAGAAGAATAAGTGGGGGGAGACACCTTCATTTCAGGCCCCAAGTGCAAATGCCACTCCAATGTAGATGGTAAGGCTCCTTGGGCCTTTGGACTGCCAGGTCCCTCCTGGCCTCTAGCGGGGGATGGGAGGGGTAGGATTGCCAGATCCAGGTTGGGAAACTCCTGGAGATCTGGGGGTGGAGCCTGGGGAGGACAGGGACTTCTGTGGGGTACAATGCCACAGAGTCCGCCCTCCAAAGCATCCACTTTCTCCAGGGGAACTGATCTTTGTAGTCCGGAGATGAGCTGTAATTCCTGGGGGTCCCCAGGTCCCACCTGGAGGTTGGCATCCCTATTTCTCCTGTGAAAGAGACAGATGAAGCTGCTTAACAATGAATTAGACCAGGGTTCCCCAGCATGGTGCCCATGGGTTTCAAGGTGCCCGCCGACAACTGCGCTGGCACCTGCCAAGTGTATTTAACAAGGGGTCAGGGTCAGGTGGGGCTTATGCCCAGCAAGGCTTCTGATTGGCCACTGGATATTTGATTGGCTGTGCAGATTCTTAAAAGTGTTGCTTTGGCAGCAGCTACCACCACAACACAATGTTCTTCACTGTGTGACTGAAGGTAAGCTGCAGAAGCCATCTTTGTGGCTGGCTCTGTCTTCTGAGGTAGCCATTTTGTAACCACCATTTTGTGGCTGCACTCACCATGCTGTGTCAGGATTCCAAATGTGCCTACAGGCTCAAAATGGGTAGGGACCCCTTAGTTAGACCAGTAGTCCATTTAACTCAGTATTGTCTACTCTAAATGGCAATTCCGTATTTTTTGCTCCATAAGACGCACCTGACCATAAGACGCACCTAGTTTTTAGAGGAGGAAAACAGGAAAAAGTGCCTCTTCTGCTGCTATTCAGTGGGGAGGGAAGCCTCGAGCCGGATCTCCCAGGCGGCAAAGCGAGAAGGGCCCCACTGGCCACGATGCTTTACAGCAGCCTCCCAAGGACACACCAGAAGTGTGTCAGAAGGCAACACCCACCGCTCAGGCTCCACCCCCAAAATCTCCAAGTATTTCCCAACTCAGAGCTGGAAAAAAAAAGGGGGGAGGCTGAACGGGGCTTGGATCTCTTAGATCCAAGCCCCGTTCAGCCTTCTCATAACCTCTTTTTTGCAGTATTCGCTCCATAAGACGCACACACTTTCCCCCCCACTTTTTTGGGGGGGGAAGTGCGTCTTATGGAGCGAAAAATACGGTACTTTCCAAAGTCTCCGGCAAAAATAAGATTTTTTTCCACACACACACTACCCAAAATCATTTTAAGTGGAGATTCCAGGAACTTGGGGTATAACCAGATGGGTCATTTTCCATGTGTACAGTTACAGGTACTTGTAATGGCCAAACTGTTACAGTCTTTAACTCGTCATGACTGGGTTTGCATGACCAGACTTTGACTCACACAGTAACGCAGCAGCTATGAGGGAACTCGTTTCCCTGGTGCACACAGCAGTGCACTTGGGAAACAGGTTCCCTTACAGCTGACATGTGACCATCTGAGTCAAAGTCAGGATGGGGGAACCCAGCCATGACGCATTAAAAATTGTGACGTGTAGTTTTGCCCTATCAGTGTTTCTCTCAGTATCCTTGGAGGTAAAGCAATCTGTCTTTTTCTCTGACAACGCCAAGTTTTATGTGCCCCCCAACTCCCAAATCTAATCCACTTGCCTCCATGTTCAGACCTTTCTCCTTCTGCTCATCTGCTGGGGATAAGGTTGCCAGCCTCCAGTTGGGCCCTGGAGATCCCCTGGAATTACAACTGATCTCCAGATGATAGAAATCAGTTCCCCTGGAGAAAAAGGCCACTTTGGAAGGTAGACTCAATAGCATTGTACCTTGCTGAGATTCCTCCCCTCCCTAAACACCACCCTCCCCAGGCCCGACCTCCAAAGCTCCAGGA